GGATTTACCCTCTTCCATTCAGAGTTTCCCTCTGAAGGAAATACCTTATTCTCTGTTCTGTAAACACTCACAAGTTTGCTCATGTATCTACTAGAATGTGTATCTTCATGTATGAAAAGTAGATGGCACTGTTTAACTGCAGGTTTTAGTCTTTGGTATTGTTACTTTTCAAGAGTTGAAGATACAGTGAAATGTTAATTGAATTGTTACTGAAGAAGTTTCACTTTTGCAACAGCTGTCATTAGCTTCAGAATAAGCTCGGTTGCAGGTATACTGACAACCAACAATCAATTATGCCATGCTGTTGCATATATTTCAGTGTTTAAGTAAGGCTAATGATCTATCACCATAAATATTAAATAATACTCCTTTTCTTTAAAAAAAAAAGGCTGCTTATAGGACAGTAGCTGTCTATTTTGTGTTGAAAATGATCCCACAATGTTTATAAATTGATTACAGTTTTACATATCTCAAATAACAATTGATTTTATTTCTGAAATCTTTATATTGGCAATAATAAAGGGTTGACTCAGCCTTCCATCCTTCCGAGGTGGGTAAAATGAGGACCCAGATTGTTGGGGGCAATATGCTGACTCTCTGTAAACCGCTTAGAGAGGCCTGAAGGCCTATGAAGCGGTATATAAGTCTACTGCTATTGCTACAATAATTTGAGATATGCTAAGTTTATTCCAGTAAAGAAAGTACTCCTTTTAAAATGTTCATTATCTTACACTCTTTTGGGCAGTTTCTGTGTTTGTTAAAACTGGGCTTTGAATGCAACCATTTGGTTCTGTATCCACAACTATGAAACAGTGACATTGTTTAACTTTGCTTCCTTGAGCAATACACGTTCAGTTATGTCCAGAGTTTAATGTTATTATCAGATAAAAATGTTTCCTTACAATCATTTCATCTGGTTTTTTTTTGTAAAACAGTTTGCAGGAGTTGCTTGGTAAAGTATTTGGAGGAAAATAATACCTGCCCCACATGCAGGATAGTAATACACCAGAGTCATCCTCTCCAGTATATTGGGTAAGTATTGTGTTAAAAGAAACACATGCAGAAATCTTCTAGATGTGCCTTCTTAAAACATGAATTGGACAAAGGAGTGTGCCTATGATTGGATTTTTCCATTCTGTTTCAGCAAAATGGAAATTCAAAAAGTGGTATAGGAACCATTTTTTTTCTTTAATATCTCTTTCATTTGTGCCCAGAGGAAGAGGATATTTTTCAGTTATCCTAATGGTGTAAATATAGGTTATAGGCAGTGGTGGGTTTCAAATCCTGTTCCTCATGGACGTGCACAGTGCATGCATGGATCTTAGCACCTGCGCGATGTTCCGCGATGCTCCAGCTGCTCCGCGGAGTATTGCGCAGATGCTGTATGCACCTGTGCTGAAGCGCAGAAGCCTTTAAACACTGGTAAGGAGCTCGGACGGGCAGGTGGGCTCTCCGGAGCACCGTACCGGAACGGTATCCGGTGCTCCAGGCTGGCTCCGGTACACATGTACTGGGGCGTACCTCCAGCAACCCACCACTGGTTATAGGTCTTTGCAGTAACCGTTTTAATTTCTCATTTTTGTCTTGCCAGTCATGACAGAACAATGCAAGATATTGTTTACAAGCTTGTTCCAGGTCTTCAAGAAGGTAAGACAATAGTAAATTGTTTAAAAGGCATCTTATATGTGAATAAATCCCCTCTGTGTGATGTATGGGAGACGATGGTTGCAGGAAGTGATGCAATTTAGTGTTGCTTCACATTACTTGCTTGCTTTGCGAAAGCAAGGACAACCACACACTACATTGGAACCCACAGCAAAAGTTTTAATTTTTTAATGGGATGGCAGAATCCTCAGGATTGGAAAGAAAAAAAATCAAAGGATTTCCCAACCTGAATATGCTCCAGATAGATAGACTTCAGTTCCCAGAATTTCCCAACCAGTATAGCTGGTATTGCTCTAAATTTCTCCATTCTTTGTCCCCATAATATCATAAATGATATAAGATGGTTTACAAGCTCTGAAGAGGAATAAAGAGGCAGGTATCCTCAACATCAATTAGTAAAAAGTTATCTTCAGTAAATGTTTGGTTGTATCCTCATTTTAGTCATATAACTCAAAAAAGTATTTTTCTAAAAAACAGTGGAAGCAATTACAGAAACAGGTTTTACATTTTAAACATTCCTGGCAATTCCCGGGTTATTTTCTAAATCAAATGGAATATTGGCATCTCCCAAATTTCTTCATACTTATAAACATAAAATGAGTATAGAGGCAATTTTGATAGTGTAGAAGCAGTTAAACTGTCCAATTGTATATTTACTTATTTCACTCAGAAAAATATTTTGAATCTATTATAGATGCTCTATAAATATCATGATTAGGATTTTGAAAATTATATTATAAAATAACAGTTGGGGGATCATACTTTGGCAGAAGACTAATGTAAGAAGTTGACTCCCAGTTGTTAGATTCTATTCCCAAAAATGTGGTTGGAGAACATATAGCTCTGATGTATGGCAATAGGAAGGGGAGGTTATTTCTAAAATTCAAAAAAATGAATGCATAAGTAAATTTTATAAAACAAAAATTAGTTTGTTCCCTGGATTCTAATTTTTGCCAAATGTTTTTGAACAAGTAGACAAGTATTGAGTCATCTTAATGTGGGATGTAACACTTGAAAAGTAGTATTGCATTGTATGGGATGTTCTTAAAATCCAGTTGTGTTACGAATTAGCCACAAAAAAAGCATTTGAACATTAGAGGGGGCTCTTGTTACATGTTCTAAACAAGGGAGAGGAATACAATGTTTGCTTGATGAAGTCCACATTCTTAGTTAAAGACACTATTTTAAAATGTTAAACAGCGGAAATGAAAAAGCAGAGGGAATTCTACCACAAATTGGGCATGGAAGTACCAGGTGACATCAAAGGGGAGACGTGCTCAGCCAAGCAGCATTTAGATACTCACCGTAATGGTAAATAGAAATGCATGTGCTTGTTCTTTTCAGAATAATTACTGTGCTTGCCAAAGGAAATTGTTTGCTCTTTGTTTAGTTAGATTAGTTTAATTTAGTACATTTATCACAACCTTGCTAAAGAAATATAAACTGTCAGTTTCTTGTGTAAATTAGTGCTTTGCTGTGAATACTTGACTGGAAAGCTGAAAGTCTACTAATTTTATGACCCATGTGTTTTCACAGCTGGATTTCTCTCCAAGCTTTGGAATAGCCCATTTAGTCTGAGAATTGTTGAACTGGTCCCATTGTGGCTAAATTGTGGCTCTCAGTTTGACCAAAGCATAAGCACTCTTCCAAAATTCTGTGTACTCTGTGTACTAGAATAAAAAAGGTTGAGAACCCGTGTGGTAGGACAGGGTTGGCAACCTTTTCACTATCAGAAACCATTTTGTGATTTCACATATAGTTATGGGCATCAAGAAATGGATAAACAATTGTATAAATGTAAATATTAAGATTCAAAATCCCATGCCACGAAGATGGCTCTTACGAGATTTGTTAGTTTAAAAAGTTCTGTATGTGTGTCAATGGGGCACAGTAGTCTTGCTCAGAAATCACTAGTATATATAGGGCCGCACTGAGTTACAGGAGTAAAATGTTCCTTAAATTGTTAAAATAAGTAATAACCTCAAATAAAAATAATAACAAAGTGAAGAAGGTCTTAAATTTTCAACCCTATTGACTCTGGGATTGGGAAAGGGCTACAAATGGAGTGTTGAGACTTCCTGGCCATAGGTTGCCCTCTGTTGATTCTAGGACAATAATCTTACTTTAAAGTCTGCACAGACTACTGCAAACTGGTTGTTCTTGTCAGTTAAACCGGTCCAAAGCAGCAAGCTTGATGATCAGTAATCAAGTCCTGTGAGCTTGCTGCATTTAATAACATTGTAAAAATGTTTGCCTTTTTATGTGCTTAAGGCTGTTAGGTAAGTCTTGTGACAACTGTTTCTTTTGAGGCCAATTCCTAGGAGAGTTTGTGCTGCAAATTCTGAGGCAGATAACATTGGTAAATGCTAGACTTGGCTCTGCTGGGAAAGTTTTTATTGCTGCACCAGAGTCAGTGACAGAACTGCAGTCAGTAATACAACATAGCATCACTGCAAAAGATTGTGCTGCTCTACAAAGACAAAGCACCCAGTTTCGTTGGATACAAGATGGATGGCAAATAAATTTCATAAATATATAAAAATAAATAAATAAATCCAGATTGCCACTTTGTTTCAAATCACAGTGTGGTCATTTTGTAGTGATTTGTGTGTAGCAGCAGTATTTTAATATGTAGTAAAGATGACTTGCTGGCTGTAGAATTCTCCTTTATTTTTACTTTGTTATGAATTGGTTGAGCTGGTTAGGTTACAGCTGAGTGACAGGATTGGACTTTAAAACAATTGTGTTGATTTTTTTGTGCTTTAATGTTGAGCTACACGTATGTCAGATAGTCAACTGTATAAATTGAATAGATAGACTGTAAATTTCTCAGGCCTAAAATAAGTTGCAGCTATATTTTAGGATAGAATTTGCTAAGTGCTATTGCAGCACAATTTATCAAAATATAATCCCAATACTACAGAGATTTGAAGAGATTTGACTTCTGTGTGACCAACAGGCTTCATTTTAAAAAAGCTGTTGATCTTGATTTCATTTTGTTTCATGCAAATATTTCTATCTTTGGAGTCTTCCCATTCATAACAGATCCTCTATGCTTTTGTCATAAGGGGAAACTAAAGCAGATGAGAACACAAACAAAGAAACATCAGAAGAAAAACAGGAAGAAGATAATGATTATCACAGAAGTGATGAACAGGTATTGTTGAAATATAATCTTTGAACTAGCAGTTGTTTTCCTTTTTGGTGGTTTAATTTATACAGCATTTCTCATTGAGGGAATTTCCAGATGTGTAGAGTTGACTCCCAGAATTCTCCATATATTGTCTGGATAATTGTAAGAGCTGAAGTTCAAACTTTTGGCAGTTGCCCAAATACAGAAATACCTGTTTAAAGTTATACGTGTTTTTTTCTTTACATTTTTTCTTAAAATACCTTCCACATAACAATGATCCTGTCAAGAAAGTAATTTCCATTAATAACTAGGAAGGTTCATTTTTAGAAGAAATGTTTGAAATTGTCACAAATGAAAGCAAGAATGTCTTAGATATCATAATTTTTTTAAAATCCTAAGAATGGCTGGTTGTGATTTCCCAAACGTGACTGAAATCTCTTGCGCCAGTTCTGGAATTTTTACTGGGCAAAAATAAATGAGGGGAGATTTTCATTACTGAAAATAGTCATCCTCTCATAGTTGACCATCTCCCTTTTCACTACTAACTTTGTTTTCATTTACTCACTCAATCTGTTCCTTACAAATTATTCAAAATTATTTGAAAGAAAAAGAACTTGTTTTTCATTTACAATAGGTTGGAGCGATAGGTTGACTTTGGCAGTTAGCCATCCTATATGGCTGTTCCCAGCTACTTCAGTAGTTCTAAAAATTACCTACCGTATTTTTCAGAGTATAAAAAGCACTTCCCCCCCTAAAAGAGAGTGAAAATTTGGGTGCATCTTATACACTGAATGTAGCTCCAACCACCCACTGGCCCCAACTCTTTGGCCTCTGCCTCCTAGCAATTAACCTCCTTGCAGCAAAGGGGAGGGGGTTTGCGGAGGCTGCAATAGGCTATAGCAATCATTGCAGCCTGAAACAGCTGATGATCGTGAGAAATTGAAAGTGAAACTTGCTGTTTTCTCTAAGAGGCAAATTGCTGGGAGCCAGAGGCAGATTTTTTTTCTTGTGCTAATCAGGTTGTTTGCTGCAAGGAGGTAAGTCAACAACTATAAATGCCTATAGAATATTCAAATTATTAGACTTATTTTTTAAAGACTGCTTTATTATTATTCTAGACAGCTTAACAAAATAAAGAAGCTGTTTAAAATCAATGCTTGATCTGAAGAGGCCCAATGCTATTGTATCTTCTTTTAAATAGCAGAGAATAACTATACTTACGGAAAGCTCATCACTTTAACAGCTTCTGTACAAGTATAGTCTGAAATGTAACACTACAAACAGTGTATATTGTCTGTACTATTTGCTGTTTGTTGCAAGGAGGCGAATTGCTATGAGGCAGTTATTTTTCCTTTGTTTTCCTCCCCAAAAGCTAGGTGCATCTTATACATCGGAGCATCTTATACTCCGAAAAATACAGATCTAATCATTAGATCTAAAAATCTAAGCACTGAAAGGCTAGAACATTGTGCATGAATAAAGTGCTACAGGTAGTCCTAGATGTCACGTTCCGGCATTCACGTTGCATACAAACAGAGATTCAGTTTGTTTGGTGAAAAACTTTTATCTCTATCT